GCCGCGGCCGCCGTGTCCCCCGCCGCGCCCCGTCCTCGGGCGCGCCCTATGGCAGAGCTCGTAGGCGGTGCTCAGCAACCGCCGAGCGGCCTCGGCCAACAGACGGCGGGGCTGCCCGACGGACGGCCGGCCGAGCCAATGGGCATGGAGGGCGGGCGTGCTTATGATTGGCGGTGCCCTTCCTCCAGTGAAAACTGGGGGCGTGGGTGGGCGGAGCCGGAAGTAGAGCCCAGCCGAGTGGCCCCTGTCCGGCTGGGGCGGAGGGAAAGGAGGAGGGAACTAGAGCAGGAGGAGGAGGAGGAGGAGGAGGAGGTTAACCCAGGCAGCGGCGGCGGCGGCGGCGGCGGCAGCGGCAGCGCAGGGGCTGGGTACGCGCTGGGCGGCGAGAGCCTCATGGCGGAGGAAGAGAGCGATCAAGAGGCCGAACGCCTCGGAGAAGAGCTCGTGGCCATTGTGGAGTCCCCCCCGGGCCCGGTGGGGCTCCGAGCTGCGGGCGACGGCAGAGGGGCGGCCGGCGTGAGCGGCTGCGGCGGCGGCGGCGGCGGTGGCGGCGGCGTCGGGATCAGCAGCCGGGATTACTGCCGACGCTTCTGTCAGGTGAGGCGCCCGTCGGCCGCCCCGGACTTGTCACCCGGCTCCTGGGCCTCCGCGCGGCTCCTGGCCTTGTGGCCCACGGATCGGGGCTGTGTGTCCGGGACCGATCCCTCCCAGCCGGACGGACGGGGAGCCCCCCGGGTCCCCTCTCTCTCTCTCTCTCTCTCTCTCTGATCCTCTCCGGCTCGGCGAGGGGGGACGGGGAGCAGGTTGGGGAGTGGGGGGGGGAGTGACGACTTGCGGACTTTGGGGTGAGGAGAAAGTGAGTTTGTCGTGGTGGGGTGGTGGTGGGGGGCCGGGAGCAGGACGGTCAGCTGGAAGGAACCGCGTCCTGACATGTCCCTGCCTCCTCACGCAGACCCCCCTTCGTGCCCGAGGGTCCCGCCTTTCTACGTTGCCTGCCCGGTTGGTTCCTCTCACTTCTTCTGCCGAGCTCCCCTGCCTTTCTCTTAAGACCTCCCGTGTGTCCCCCCCCCCCGTCCCCCCCGTCCCCCGGCATTCTCGTTTTGGGAGACCCCACGCCTGCTATCACCCCACTTGCCTGCCCTCCTGTCATCCCCACCCCTCCCCCTCTGCTAGGGTCTCCTGTCATTCCCTCACTGGGTCCCTCTGGGCCGGTTGGTTCTTCAGTTGGCTTGGGCACTGACCCACCGTTAGCTACTTTTCCCCCTTCCCCCGGGCGTGTGTGTGCGTGCGTGTGTGTCTGGGGGGGGGTGTTTGGGGTGTGGGACGTTGGTGGAGTGATTGTCATCTTTCCCCTTTTTTTTTTTGACCCCCCTTGTCTGACAAACACAGTTTCCTAATTAACTGCACACAGAGAAAGTCGTTTTCCTGAAACTATCGCCCTGGTTACACCGCCCCTCCCCCATCCTTGAAGTTACACGTTTTTTGGTTAGTCTGTTACACTCAGTATCGGGAAAGTGACAGTCAATTATTTAGTCTGCGGACTGCTTTTAGGATTGAATGTAGTTTTGTATTGAGTTGTGAGCAAATATAGGGACAACCTACATGTTTAGGAATAGTTTGTAAAATCTGCATTCTCATCCGCATTCATTTGTAATACACGTCTTTTTTTTTTTTTTTTTTTTGCATTCCCAACTCTTGCTTCTTAAGAAAAAAGATACTTTTTTCATACTACCTTTAAAAAATGTTTCTTATTGTTCACGTCCCTGCGCTACTATTTCTTAACGGTTTACCTGTACAAGTTACTTAACCTCTGTGCCTTAGTTTCCTCTTTTGTCAATTGGGATAGTTGCTAGCTGGGTAAATACATGAATGGTTTGCATCAGCTAGCCGTTAATTTCACTCAGGTCACAGGTGCGAAATAAAGCGAACAATGAGTGGGCATTAAATTGGTTGACATTTCATTTTATGTCCTGCCAAGCATTTAAGGGAGGAAAAAAGGATAAAGTTGATATTTTGGGATAAGTTACTAATGGTTGAATTTAAATTTTCTTTTGGCAAGTTTTTGCCAATGTCATAGGTGAATTGGTTTGAAGGTCGAAACAGTCTGGGTGTGCACAGTGTATCTTTAACATTTTTTTTTCTCTATTTAGTGACTTTCTTGAAAAAGTGTTTTCATCTTGACAGTTGATGTCACTGAAGTTCACTGTCTTGATTTTTAGAGCATTTGTCTTCTAATTACGTGTTTAATGTTCAGCAACCGTTATGTTTGTAGACTATGTACTTAGGAACTTCAAACAGGCAAATTAGCATGCATTTGATATTTAAATATATTCTGAGACAAATGGTATCACACCTTTCTTTTTTTACTTTTTAAAAGAACAACTTTTCTCTTTCTCTCTGTTTCTGCTCCCCACCCCCACCCCTAGTGTGTGTGTGTGTGTGTGTGTGTGTGTGTGTGTGTGTTGTACACTGGGCATTGAAACCAAGGCTAGATCTACCAGTTCTACCCGCAGCTTGGTAGTGTTAGTTTACTTGCTCAATGACTCTGCATTGCTGAAAATTTTGAGTGCCAGAGCATTTTTTGGAGAACTTTTACCTACCCTTAATTTCTTCTTGAAGTTAATTTTTTAAGAACAAATGAGCAAATTTAGCTTATGAAGAAGTGTGACTACAGCTGAGGGAGGGACACCAGGAGCACAAGTTCAAGGGTTGCCTGGGCTACATTGGGAGACCCTGAGTCAGTAAACAAAACAAAATCAGATTCTGATCGTTGACTTTAAAATGTTTTAAGAACAGATGAAGTTGACTGTTTTTTGAGATTCTAACTTATGAGTAACCAAGACTAAAACTGAACAGGAAAAATGTAGTGAACTTTTATACAACTAAATTATGAGTGTTATATTGACATACCTTCAGATTACCAATTTTTTTATGAAAATTCATTACCTATTTTAGAGATTACTAATAGAGCTGTTTTTGAATTCCTATTCTGGTTTTATTTTCCAAGTGAGCTTTATATTTATATATATTATTTTTACATATTTTAAATGGAATGAAAGAATCACTTAATGAATGACATTTTATCTATTACTTAATAAAATAGGGGTTTGATTTTCCAGTAAGGAAAACAGTGGCCTATATAATTGCATTCTCAAAGATTAGTTCTTTTAAACAATTAAGATTCTATTATTTACTAATAGTGATAATAAATAACTTTCATTTATTAGCAAATTACCTAATCATGAATAATTCTTAAAATAGATAAGTTACTCTTATCTACTGTCTGACAGTGAGCTAAATATATGAATTATGTATACAGCTTAGTGATATTGAGAAGAAAATCTACAACTTATCTACTTTTTGGAGGGAAATATGAATCAAAATTTCTTGGCAGTAGCTGCTAGGGTTATGGGAGAAAGGAATGGAACAATTCTTTTAAGGGAAAGTAAAACAAAAGACTCCCTGGACTAATTGCCACTAATTACCTCCTCCCATGGCCTATGTTAAGTTATCTGCGCAAGTAATACTCCAGTAGAATGGGTACCTAACCCATACTTATTTGCTTTGATAGGAGCGGGAAGGGAAGGCAACTTTTACTAAGAGCCTATTAACTCTTCACCTTCAGATATCGAGTTACAAAGCAGAATTTGAAGCCTAAACAAGTTCACTTTTCTTACATTCTTACATTTTCTTACATTCCAAAGGAAGGGCAAGCTAGGATTTGAACGCTGACTTCAATATCTACTGCAAGACAAATCATCAAACACATACTTTGAATTGTGTGGTGTGGATGGGATTGAGTGGTGAAAAGTTAGTAACCAGCAGGGGGAAAAATCCTGAAAGGACTCAAGGAAGCACAGATACAAAGTTTCAAAGAGCCAGGTGTGCTGAAGTGGCACACGCCTTTAATTCCTGCACTCAGGAGGCAGAGGCAGATGGAGCTCTGTGAGTTAGAGGCCAGCCTGGTCTACATAGTGAGTTCCAGGACAGCCAGGACTATGTAGACAGACTGTCTCAAAAAACAAACCAACCAACCAAACTAAACCAAAAGAAAAACAAAAACCACCTAAAGTTTAAAAGAAAAGTTTAAAAGGGATGCTTTATTATACCATAGTAATAAAACTCATTTCAAAAAACATCATTTTATCTCTCTTGACTTGTTAAGTATAGGAAACATTCCCTCATTTCCTAAGACCTACAATAATTTGACTTTGGTCATATATTGTCAGG